GAGCCCGTTGCAGTTCTACCAAGCAAAATATGACGACACAATGGCCATTCGTTTCAAACACTCTACTGGAACCTTTGAATATACAGTGAGCTTTTCAATAACAAAATAGTTTTTGAAACGAAAAATTCGCTTTCCAACCCGATGGATGGCGTAGCTCTCTTTTACAACTCCGCTTAGGCTTCACTTGAAACTTCAATTCACTGACTTCTATATCTCATTCTATCCCTGACCAATGCTATCCGCTTTGTTTACATAAATGTTTTATGTTGATGAATAGCGACGAAACACCACAATTACAACCACGACTACAGCTACAACTACAACCACTACTCAACAGTCAGGTAAGCTTTACATTAGCACGTCTTAGCCTTGCTAAATGCTAATTTTCACTCAGCTATATGCAGTTACTTTGTATCTAATGTTAATCTGCATTAGAGGTGGCACATTACTACTACTGGTTGTAATAAGTGATAACTAATGATGTTATTACTAATTACCAGTAATAAGTAATAACCCACAAAAATGTAATAAAGTGATACACAAATAAGATAGTAGAATTACTTCTAATCATCGATTAGATTTTCGCTTCCTCACTAAAGCATTATGGCACCATTAGGTTTCATTTTGCCTAACATTAATTGATCTCAATATTTATGCATTACTAATGGAAGAAATATAGTTTCTGGATTGTGGAGATGAAGTTTGGTTAAAATAATACTTCATCAAAATGTAGAAAGCTAACTTAGTCACATAATGAGATCTTGCACATGTAAACCAAAAAGGCCCTCATCCTTTTCTTTTCTAATTTATACAATTATCATTAGTAATAACTTTGAACCATGCCTGTGCATACCAGGATTATATTTTTCAAATTGTAAAAATATGTAAGCTTGCCCAATAAGTTGGGTCATTAAATAACAAAGGACCGATGCTTTATTTTAGTCATTCTATGTAGTGTAAGACCTTTTTGTTAACAGAAAGCAGCTGTTATGCAAGAACAATTTTGAAATAAAAGAAGGTCACTAGTTTTCGAATAACTTTTAACCAGAAACAAGATAGAGAACTGTAGTTTTCACCTTTTAAAAGAGGCGATGAAATTGCATCGAATCGTATATGTAAGATTTTTCTAACACGTCTCTAAAAGCAAAACATTGCGTAAAGTAAAAATTTTGGAATGTTAAGTTTCAGGAGTCCACTAGAATCGCTACCTAAAGATCTATCAATTATGCAAGCTCGATGTTATTAGCTTTACCCAATCATTCGTTATAGAAATTTGACTGTGGATTCTCGACCAATTTCTCACCGAAAATCGAATTCTTTCTCTAATTTTTTGCTAAAAAATCACCTGATGTACCTGTAAAAAGTTCCGATTTTTTTTGAAAAACCTTAATGGTGGATCCTAAGGAAACTTGTCAGAAAAATTGAATACACGACTCGATGCAGTTTCATCGCCTCATTTAAATGGTGAAAGCCGCAGATCGCTAGCTTGTTCCTATCAAAATAAATTACAAAAATGCTCACCCTTCTTTTATTTGGGAATGGATAATATTATGTATTTTGCTTTTCATTAGCTAACTAAAACAAATCAAATTCATTTGTTTGATAGACAAATATGCAAAGTTTATTTCAATACCTTTTTGTAAAATAAAAAACAATGAAAGTGTAGCCTTATGCATGTGTATATAAAGAAACCGCCTGACGAGCTACATAGTCGAAAAAAAGTTTCATACTGTTTGATAGACATTCATTACAGAATAAAACTGGACTACTTGATTGAAAGGAGAATCATATTGAATTACTTGTAAGACAAGTAAGTACATGGGATGTTATTTCCAGTTTCAGAGTCTTCAAAAACGGCGAAAATGTAACTGTCGAAAAGTTAAAGTTCAAAGAATTGTAACTGATGACCTGGTTCTTTTTAAAAAGCAACTGTTTTATGAAAAAGTGATGTTGATTAATATTTTGCTTCATTTTTATATTGTTTGTATCGGATAAAGAGTTCTCGAAAAGACTCGCACGCAATACAATGAAGCAAACCTGTCAATTTATATCTCTTTTGCATACAAGAAACCAAGTGGCTCATAGGTTATAGTTCTATTGTACTTGAACTGTTCGATCGGAACAATTCTTCAAGCTATATTCCAAGTTTCATAGGCTTAGTTCTACATCACTGCGTATTCGAAATAGAGTGTGGGTATGGGTGGTGAGTTCAACAGCTACACCTACACCCACCCACACCCTCAAAAATATTTACATCATATATCATTTCAGAACCGAAAAATTTCTCTGTTTTTGCTCGCCCCAATAATCAATTTTAAAGTCGTAACAGTATTATCGTGATTACTAGTTCGACATTTTCGTTTGATGATTTGAAATCACATTTGAAATCAAAGTTCTTTTTTTTTCTGCTCAATTCATCATTATTTTTGTTGTTGTTGTTCTCTTTCTCTCTCTCTTCCAACCAAGTCTGGAAGCTTTCTTGTCATTTGTTTTCTATATACGACCTAAGCCAGAAAAATAATTGGTATCGTTGCAATCATTTTTGTCAGTTTACAAGAATATAAGTTTCTCACTCGCTTTCTCAATAAGAATAATTTATGATAATTATTAGGTAATGGCTTTATTTCACAAAAGTTAGTAAAAAAATATCTTGTTCTGTTTTCATTGATCCGTGTTCATTAATTATAGTTCTCTATGTCAAAAATCATTAAATATTCATTTTTCTACAGTTCATAATTGAGATAATTCATAATGTTTTTTTCTAAGAAAAACTAGTCTCGCTGATTCATCAATATATTGATGAAGAAACACACTTGTGTTTCTGTGACGAACGTCAGTGTTTTCGCCTATCAATGCTTATGCTAAAAAACATTCAGGTAGTTTTAAATATTTGCATAAGCGAAACGTCAGCGTGATCATTATAGTCACAGTAGCAGTCATTATAGCAAAAGCTGATTATTCCATTCCGAAATTCCTAGTAGTAAGTATAGTTAATAAGCGCAATAGCCAAGTGGAAACAAAAATATTTTTTAAATCATTCTTTTTAAGAGCGCAAGAGAGAGCAATGAAAATGCTTTGAATTTTCCAATGTAAACTGCGATAGGTCCTTCTCGTTCGTGATCACGGTCAATTATTTTGACGCGCGCGTATATTCATAAACATGCTATCTCAACCAATCAATCATCAGACGTGAAACTAAAAGCGTATAGAACTCAGAAGTACAACATATATAACAGATCTCTCTTTATATTGAGTATCTAAATGAACAAATGTAACGGGCTACTCCCTCTTTTATAAACAATTAGCTTATAAGGGTTATGGGACTCTAAAATCCTGATATCACCAAAACGAAAAATTAGTATGTTAGGCTTGTACTCATTGTCGACTTGATATAATCTTGTGGTTTCTTTTCTTAAATAAAACAGAATCTAAGCTAAGGTGAATGTCCGTCCGATGACAATTGAAAAAATATGTTGTGACACATTTAGACCTCCTTCCTCAGATTCAGTTTTAAAAAAAAACCCTCACCTCACCTTCAAGAAAAGCGATCTGAAAATCAATGCAGCAATTAATTGAGGAAAACTATGTGTACGTACGAAAGTTATTGCCACACAACTAAGGAGAGAGTAACGGAACTGGTGTCGAAAAAATCCTAGTTTTTTTGTGAATTTTCAGCGGTTCGCACTTCAATTGTTTTTCCTCAAATACGTATAAATAATGGCCAGTGCCACGTATATAAAGAATAGAATATGGTTGATCTCTCGGTATTTCTTGAAAGTTCCACTATATTCATTAGAATTTGAATATTTTTAAATTGATGAAAATCGCTTTTTAATTTCGAATTTTTTTTCGAAATATCTGCTACAGTTTTTTAATATCAACGTATTGGACAGAAGTAGGACTGAAACATTCTATCATTTGGAATTATATGCACGATTTGTCTTCACAAGTCGCTGCCGCTAAAAAAATGCTTTCTCTTAAATTGAATGTAATAACTGCGCCAAAGAAATTGACTTTTTTCAAAATTCTGTTCAATTAATGGCATTGCGAAATAACTCGCCCGGATTTTTTCATCTATTGAATTCACACAAAAAATGAACGCACATGAAAAAAAGCATGCAATCACTGATAAACTCTGCCTACCAATTAGTATTGCTGTCTCTCATTCATTGAAATGAAAAAATATCGAACTCTCAAGAGCATGCTTTGTTTGTTTTCAAGAGCTCATCGATTGAGTCCTTTTGTCAGAATTTGAAATCTAGAGAACCTTCGAACATACTATCTGTATCTAGTAGAAGAGAAATCTAGAGTAGTGTATATATCAAGCTACAGTAATAGTAGCAATTGTTCGATGAAAATATCATCGATAACTATATAACTCTACCGAGAGAACAGTCCATGTTGCGTGTTTTCAAGGGCTACACAAAATGTCAATTTCATTTTTTTGTCTAATTAATAGTAGTTTATAAGAAAAAGAAAAAAATGCTAAGAAGAAATGATTTTTTTTTTCGAATTCGAGAGAGAAGAGGATGGATTTTCCTTTTGACACGTATACGCTGGCTATCTATATCTCTCTCTGTCGTTCCTCATTAATCATTTCTCTTCGTTCATCAAATAATTTGAGTGGAGATAAACTTGTAGAGAATTCATAACTTTGTTGAATGGATAATCCCCAAGGACAAGGAATAGAAACGTGTGTGCTGACTATCAGACGAATGAAGGAACGGATGGTGGATCCGGTGGTAGACTATTACGACGAAGCAAAAGAAAAGAAACGAAAACAATATTTCTAAATTCTGATAGTCACTGTCTACTCTCACACCCTCAAATTCCAAAGATTCCAGTTAGTCCATGTAGTCCGATTTCGTAAAACTCAGACACATGTCTGACTCCTATTTACCCGCCATTCCGGACAAAATCACCCTTTTTTTAAACTTTGTTCTCTCTCTCATCTCTGTCTTCTGTCTCCTATTGCAACACTTATTTTTGTCTATTTTAAGTACCACTACGAGCACCTGCTATTGACATTCATCCGAATGCCAAATGGATACAAAATGGTCTCACTGTGGCTGGAGGAAATGGATTAGGCAATGGAAGCAATCAACTAAATAACCCATACGGTTTTTATGTCGATGATGATCAAACTATTTATGTCGCTGATCGATATAATAACCGTATTGTGGAATGGAAATATGGTGCAACGAGTGGCCAAGTAGTTGCCGGCGGAAATGGAGATGGAGATGGAGATCATCAGTTAAACAATCCATTAGATGTGATTGTCGACAAAGAGAGAGACAGTCTCATCATCTGCGATTACGGGAATAGAAGAGTAGTTCGATGGCCTCTTCGAAATGGTACTAGTGGAGAAACAATCGTCTCAAACATTCTCTCTTGTTGGAGTTTGACAATGGACGAGAATGGATCTCTCTATGTCGTTGACTCGGGAGAAGATGAAGTGAGACGATATCGAATTGGTGATACTGAAGGAACAGTGGTTGTCGGTGGCAATGGATATGGAAATCGTTCCGATCAACTCTCTACCCCCCACTACGTATTTGTCGATCTAAATAATTCAGTATACGTGTCTGACTTGAACAATCATCGTGTGATGAAATGGGAAGAAGGTGCAAAACAAGGTATTGTCGTAGCCGGTGACCAAGGACAAAGAAATAGTCTTACACAATTGTCATCTCCTGCAGGAGTCGTTGTCGATCAATTGGACACTGTCTATGTGTCTGATAGTCTTAATCATCGCATCATGCGTTGGCCAAAAGGAGGCATGCAGGGAAGTGTAATTGTTGGCGGAAATAGTCCAGGAGAACAGTCAAATCAATTAGATTATCCCTATGGTTTATCATTCGATCGACATGGCAATCTCTATGTCGCTGATCGTGACAATCATCGAATACAAAAATTTTCAATCGAACAGACGATAAATTAATGATGTTTATTTGTTTGTGTGGTTGAAAATGATTTGTATGGAATAAAAAAAGGATACTCACGATCAATTAATAAATATATTAGATATTCTTGCACACGACCACAAAAACTGTCTCTGGCGGTGGGAGTGGCGACCGTCAGGCTATGCATGAACAGGGCAAGCTCACACCCATACCCATGAACGAATATCATGTGGACTCGATAGACTTGCATCGTGTTGCCACTGCCATAAGTTAAGTTTTTTGGTGGGGAGTACATAAGGTCCTCCCAATGGGACTACTAACATGAATGTTCTTCACTATATTTCAACGATCGTTTGAAAATAATTCATGGCCAGTGAAATATTATCAAACGATCATTCGAATAAAGTGAAGGGTGTGGGGTGCTGGTGAGTGTGGGTGATGGGTACATGTGGGTGTGGGTGGAGTGTGAGCGTGAGGGTGGGTATGGGTAGGGTGTGGTTGCAAGTGTTTTCAATAGATATACCCACAGTCCACACCCTTAAAAACAAAAATATGATCTAGTTCAACATAATACTCAACGTTTGGAGAATCATTAAATATCATAATATTTCAATGACGTTTAGAACTACTCCAAACTTAGTTGCAGGACGTTTCTTGTAGAATCGATCACTCATGACGAATATGCAAGCTCTTTTACACTAATCAATTCGTCTATCTTCATTATGAAAAAGGCATGTATATTATGAATAACTCAGCTGTATAACACCTACATGAGTTTAATAATAGAATGTTTATACGTTCATAAAAGTAGTCAGCAATGATGGTATCTAGTCGGTTATCAATATTAACAGCAATTGAAGTATAGAGAATAAAAATATTCAGTAGAAAACATTGTTAGTTTTTCAAAAAAAATTCTGAAACATCCAAAAAAGAAAGTAATGAGCAGAGTGAGATTATCGTAATTTTTCTCGTTTATTTTTTATTTCTCTAGTCCATATTAGAAATGTTTTGCCTTTATATATAGCAAATAATTGATGTTTTCATATAAACTTTTTTTTATCTATACAACATTTGTCCTTATAAAATAGAAATCAAAAGAACACATGGTAAGTATTAGTAACTAACTATAAATATCAAGTGTTGTACTCCATAACATTAGAATAATTTTATAACAGACAATATCAAGTCATTTTATAAAAATAAAAGAACGAGAATACACGTATCAAAGATTTCTTAAGAAGAGTCGAAATCAATCTATGGCGACACAATCCGACACACCACAGAACTCGACATCAACAACAGAGTACGTTCTTATTTATATTGTGTGAGATTAAACAAAGAAAATATAATTTTTTAGAAGAACATGGTGTTCAAGAAAAAGATTAATGTTGATTATTATTGTTATTGGAATCTTAATCCTTTCAGTCATTGTCATTCCAACAACTATTATTTTGACGGCAAAGGTAGATGTATCATCAACAACGAAAGTAACAATGGAAATATCAACAGAAGGTAAAATTTTGTTGATAAAGTCTATGATCTTTTGGAATTTTCTTTAAAAAAAAATACGTAAATGGAAAATAATTGTTTTATTCCTTTTTGAAATTCTTTACTGGTTATATCTTCTAGAAACAAGGGACAACAAAAACGACACCGTATTAACTACATCAATAGAAACAATAATGCCCACAACTGCATCAATAATAACAATAAGGCCTACAACAGCATCTATTGGTAAGTGAAACATTGTTTATAGATGGGATCTATCTATTCTTAATAACTAAATTAAAAAAATTTTATCATTCAGTGTGACAAAAAAAACATAGTAACAGATGGTACAGGATCATTATCTGTATATATTTAATATTTCTTCCATTCGTTCCTCTTCAAAGTCATTTTTTTTATTAAAAAAGTTTTTTTTTAAATTCTTGAGTAAGATGTATATATATTTATAAATTAAACTTCTGTTGAGCAATAATAATGTTTATCTCGACATGCATGATTTTATGACAATGTCGTTCTACATAATAATTCATAAAATCTTGTTATGTCATTGCTGACGGCATTCATATAAGGTATTTTTTTTTGTTTCTTTGTAGATCAATGTACTCGACTGTATACTGTAATAAAAGAGTATCCATCTGATTCTGGATTAGTTGTGATGACAACAGATGATATAAATTCTGACGGCACACCAGATATCATTGTTGTAGATAAGCGATCTGAAAAAATTGAGATTCATTGTTTAACAATGGGAATGGTACATTTACTATTCAAACGATTTCTAAACAGGAGATGTTTTTACCGGAGTCATTAACAACATCCGATATTAACAACGATGGTAAACTAGACGTTATTGTCACATTGGCCACATCGGAAACATTCATTATTTTTTTAAATGATGGCAATGATAGCTTTATTGAACATATGAATTATTCCACTGGTTCTTCACCACGTTCTGTAACAGCTGCTGACGTTAATAATGATGACAAATCAGACGTTATTCTCCTGAATTTTGACTCATCAAATCTTATGGTTTACCTCAAACACTGGCAATGGTATATTTAGTGAACCAATGATTTATTCC